GATCTCATAGCTCTTACCATGATTTATGATGAGAGAATTAAAACTCCCATGGATCCCTAGTGCCTGACACTTCTTCAAAAATTTTTATTTTATTACATTTTAGGTTTTGGGGTACATGTGAAGAACATGCAAGATTGTTCATAGGTACACATATGGCAGTGTGAGTTGCTGCCTTCCTCCCCATCACCTATATCTGGCATTTCTCCCCATGCTATCTCTCCCCAACTACCCACTCCCCGCTGTCTCTCCCCTATTTCCCCCCAACAGACCCCAGTGTGTAGTGCTCCCCTTCCCGTGTCCATGTGTTCCCTTTGTTCAACACCCACTGTGCCTGACACTTAATACATACTTAGCCGATGAATTATAACCCAGTGATACATTTTGATGTCCATAAGTTTGGCTGTATTTGTCTATTTCTAAAATGTCTTTAGTATTTATTCTTCTAGATCTGCACTATCCAGTTTGGTGGCCTCTGGCCACATGCAGCTATTGAGCACGTGGAATGTGGTTAGTCCAAACCGAGACATGCTGTGTGTAAAATACACATCAGATTTCAAAGACTTAGTGTGAAAAGAATGTAAAATGTCTCAACTTTCTAATACTGATTACATGGCTGCAATGATATATTGGGTTATATAAAATATTATTATAATTTATTTAACTTTTAAAAATGTAACTACTAGAAAGTATTAAATTACACATGCAGTGTCTTATATTTCTGTTGGACAGCAATGTTCTAGATGCATTTTAAAATTATTTTGTCAGGTTTCTAAGAAAAGATTCCATTAGGCTGTGTTATATTTTTAAATTAATTTTGGGGGAAAGTGTCTATCTTTACAGTATTGAATCATCCTGCCAGAAGCATGTTCTCTCTCTTCATTTATACAGGCTCTTGTCCGTATTAAAGTGAATTGTATTTTTCTTGGTGACCTTGTTTTTTGCTTATCTTTCCCTACCCCTAGGTATTTTATAGTTCCTATTGTTATATTGTCGGTTGTACCTTATTGTCATTGTCTTACCTGTTTTTTATGTATAATTTTTTGAAACCCTCCTCTTAGTAGATGCCAATTCTAACATTTTCCAAGTAATTCTCTTGTGTTTTCCTTGTAAATAGTCTGCATATTATATCTGCATGTAATAGTAATTTTGTCCCTTTTTTTAATGGCTATTTGCCTTAATTTTCCCTTGTCTTGTTGCTTTGGCTAGAAGTTCTAGAATAATGTTAAGTAAGAGTAGTGATGGCAGGTAACTTCAAGTATCTTCCCAGGCACTGATGGGAATGACTTAAGGGTTTACCAAAGTGTGCTCCAGGGAACACTAATTCTTTGGAGTATTAATATGCGTACCTTGAGTGAACAGTATCACCCTTAAATGAGTTTGCGAACTGCTGAGTTAAACAGGATTCTTGTCTCCAGGAGTTTTCAGGTGAGTTATTATGCTAATGTGTTTTTTAATCCCTAGGAGGTGAGGATATTGGGGCTAGCTCTTGGGCTTGTGTTCTACTCAATACATTTTGAGACATGCAGACATCATGTTTTCTTTTTTTTTCTTTTCTTTCTCCCATTAAGTATACCAGCATAATGCAGTGTTTCCTTTTTAAGGTTGATGTTGCCATTGGTTTGTAATAGATACTCTTTTTTTTTTTTTTTTTTTGAGACGGAGTTTCGCTCTTGTTACCCAGGCTGGAGTGCAATGGCGCGATCTCGGCTCACCGCAACCTCCGCCTCCTGGGTTCAGGCAATTCTCCTGCCTCAGCCTCCTGAGTAGCTGGGATTACAGGCACGCGCCACCATGCCCAGCTAATTTTTTGTATTTTTAGTAGAGACGGGGTTTCACCATGTTGACCAGGATGGTCTCGATCTCCCGACCTCGTGATCCACTCGCCTCGGCCTCCCAAAGTGCTGGGATTACAGGCTTGAGCCACCGCGCCCGGCCCTAGATACTCTTTATTATATCAAGAAAGGATTGTTCTGTTTCTACCCTATTGAGTATTTTTGACTTACTCTAAAAGGGCATTTAACTTTTTCTCACATGCATTTTTGACATAGTATTGATTTGGTCATATGGGTTTTTCTCTTTTGACTTATTGATGTTGCAGATTATATTTGTCTATTTCTGAACATGGAGCCATCCTTACATTTGTGAAACAGCTGTTCTTGGTCATAATATATAATTTTAATAGGTTGTATTTGCTAGTATTTCTGTTAGGAATTTTAAATCTATTTATTTAGATGAAGTAGACAGTTTTCTTCTTTCTGCTATTTGTCATCTTCTGGTATCAGATTTGTGCCATATGAACTGAGATGCTTTAAATGTTTTTACATGCATCTAGAACAGTGTGAACGGCCTGAAGATCATTTGTGCCTTGGCACTTCTGTTTCTTATTTAGTTCTGCCAATTTATGTTATCCTAAAAATATGTTCATTTCATACAGATTTCAAATTGATTTCAATCATAATCTAGGATAAATAAGGGCACAGTATTCCTCTTTGACTAAAGTGTTGTAACTCAAATTTTGACGTGATAAAAAAATTCGGACATGATTTAGGCACATTTAACTGATCCTTTCCTGTGATCGTCTAAGATTTAGTTGCACATTATCTTGTCTTGAAATTTAAAAATTCCTTCTGTGATTCCATGCTATTTTTCTGTATTAGTTATTTTCCTGCTGTCTTGGGGCATCATGTGTTTTTCCTTTTTTTTACCTCCTAAGTTGAGTCATTTCACTTGTTTTAGTATTTATTGTTTAATGATAAAAACTCTTAAGGCAATGACTTTTCCTGTTACAGCTTTTTGTTATTTTAAACTCCCAACTTTTCCTTTTGAAAAAACTTCAAACGTACAGAAAAGGTGAGAGAATTTCACAGTTTAAGTGCCCAAATATCCACCATGTAGACTCTCCAATTGTTAACATTTTACTATGTTTGCTTTATCACATATCTGTCCATCTCTTTTTTGGAGAACATTCTCAAGTAAGTTGAAGACATAAACTTCGCTTCTAAACACAGATTTTATGTGTTTTCTCATTGTCTAAGTAGTTTTACTCCATTTCAGTTTTTTCTGATCTGATACTTAGATGTTGACATTTCTGTTGGTCGAGTTTTAAAATATAATTGTTAGATCTGGTTTTGTTGTGTTTGGATCAGAGGATGGAGCCTGGGCTATATATACTTAAGTGGTTCTGAGCAGTCTGGTGCTGCAGATTTTAGGCCAGAGGAAGGAATCCTGTTGTAGGTGTGCCACAGCTGTGAGCGCTAGTAGAGAGTGATACCTTCTGATGTGTCCATCACCCTTTTCCCTCCTATTGTTGAAAATAACTACTGTTTAAAATACTGTGTTGGCCGGGCGCAGTGGCTCACACCTGTAATCTTAGCACTTTGGGAGGCCGAGGTGGGCAGATCACTTGAGGTCCGGAGTTTGAGACCAGCCTGGCCAACATGGTGAAACAGCATCTCTACTAAAAACACAAAAAGTAGTCAGGAGTGGTGGTGCATGCCTGTAGTCCCAGCTACTCAGGAGGCTGAGGCAGGAGCATTGCTTGAACCTGGGAGGCAGAGGTGGCGGTGAGCCAAGATCACCCTGTTGCACTTCAGCCTGGGTGACAAAGTGAGACTCCATCTCTAGAAATGAAATGAAATGAGATGAATAAAATAAAATTAAGTATTTTCTAAAATAACTCTACACTGGCCGGGTGTGGTAGGTCACACTTGTAATCCTAGCACTTTGGGAAGCTGAGGCAGGAGGATCATGAGCTCAGGAGTTCAAGACCAGCCTGGGCAACATAGTGAGACCTCATCTCTAATAAAAAATAGTAATAATAGACCGGGCGCAGTGGCTCACGCCAGTAATCTCAGCACTTTGGGAGACTGAGGTGGGCAGATCACCTGAGGTCAGGAGTTCGAGACCAGCCTGGCCAACATGGTGAAAACCTGTCTCCACTAAAAATACAAAATTAGCCAGGCTTGGTGGTGCATGCTTGTAGTCCCAGCTACTTGGGAGGCTGAGGCAGGAGAATCACTGGGAACCTGGGAGGCAGAGCTTGCAGTGAGCTGAGATCACGCCACTGCACTCCAGCTTGGGCGACAGAGCAAGACTCCATCTCAAAAAATAAAAATAAAAAGGTAGAGGGCCAGGCGCGGTGGCTTAAGCCTGTAATCCCAGCACTTTGGGAGGCCAAGGCGGGTGGATCACGAGGTCAGGAGATCGAGACCATCCTGGTCAACATGGTGAAACCCCGTCTCTACTAAAAATACAAAAAAATTAGCCGGGCATGGTGGCGCGTGCCTGTAATCCCAGCTACTCAGGAGGCTGAGGCAGGAGAATTGCTTGAACCCAGGAGGCGGAGGTTGTGGTGAGCCAAGATCGTGCCATTGCACTCCAGCCTGGGTAACAGGCACGATCTTGCAGCCTCTGCCTTCAAGGGTCAAGCGATTCTCCTGCTTCAGACTCCTAAGTAGCTGGGATTACAGGCGCACGCCACCACACTCGGCTAATTTTTGTATTTTTAGTAGAGGTGGAGTTTCACTATGTTGGCCAGGCTGGTCTGGAACTCCTGACCTCAGGTGATCTGCCTGCCTCAGCCTCCCAAAGTGCTGGGATTACAGGTTTAAACCACTGCACCTGGCCTGAATTTAGTTATTTGTCACAAAGTACTTCAAACCCTCAAAAGTACTTGAAACGAGGAAATATTTTTCCTAAGAGGATACCAGTTTTTCAATTTTTTAGTCAGAGCCCGAATAGCCCTACTATGTGTAAAATGTTTTACTTCTGATCAAGATGAATGTTAGGCAACTATGCCACTAGGCTAATTGAGCATTAGTTTTTTTGGCTGTAGGTGAATTAACCAAAACATGAGAGACTAAAATGAGAGGAAGAAAGCTTTGGGTAGAATTTAGGAGGTATAATAGCCACAATGGTATTGTCGTTGTAAGCTTGTGTTTATGCCACTTGTACTTAGTGAGGAGTCATTGGTGAATGATGCAAACTCTCTCTCTCCGCAGAGTACGCTTCATGTCAGTAGAAATGGACAGCAGCAGTTTTATTCAGTTTGATGTGCCCGAGTACAGCAGCACCGTTCTGAGCCAGCTAAATGAACTCCGCCTGCAAGGGAAACTATGTGACATCATTGTACACATTCAGGGTCAGCCATTCCGAGCCCACAAAGCAGTCCTTGCTGCCAGCTCCCCATATTTCCGGGACCATTCAGCATTAAGTACCATGAGTGGCTTGTCAATATCAGTGATTAAAAATCCCAATGTGTTTGAGCAGTTGCTTTCTTTTTGTTACACTGGAAGAATGTCCTTGCAGCTGAAGGATGTTGTCAGTTTTCTGACAGCAGCCAGCTTTCTTCAGATGCAGTGTGTCATTGACAAGTGCACGCAGATCCTAGAGAGCATCCATTCCAAAATCAGCGTTGGAGATGTTGACTCTGTTACTGTCGGTGCTGAAGAGAATCCCGAGAGTCGAAACGGAGTGAAAGACGGCAGCTTCTTTGCCAACCCAGTGGAGATCTCTCCTCCATATTGCTCTCAGGGACGGCAGCCCACCGCAAGCAGTGACCTCCGGATGGAGACAACCCCCAGCAAAGCTTTGCGCAGCCGCTTACAGGAGGAGGGGCACTCAGACCGTGGGAGCAGTGGGAGCGTTTCTGAGTATGAGATTCAGATAGAGGGGGACCATGAGCAAGGAGACCTATTGGTGAGGGAGAGCCAGATCACCGAGGTGAAAGTGAAGATGGAGAAGTCCGACCGGCCCAGCTGTTCCGACAGCTCCTCCCTGGGTGACGATGGGTACCACACTGAGATGGTTGACGGGGAACAAGTTGTGGCAGTGAATGTGGGTTCCTATGGTTCTGTGCTCCAGCATGCATACTCCTATTCCCAAGCAGCCTCACAGCCAACCAATGTATCAGAAGCTTTTGGAAGTTTGAGTAATTCCAGCCCATCCAGGTCCATGCTGAGCTGTTTCCGAGGAGGGCGTGCCCGCCAGAAGCGGGCTTTGTCTGTCCACCTGCACAGTGACCTGCAGGGCCTAGTGCAGGGCTCTGACAGTGAAGCCATGATGAACAACCCGGGGTATGAGAGCAGTCCCCGGGAGAGGAGTGCAAGAGGGCATTGGTACCCGTACAATGAGAGGTTGATCTGTATTTACTGTGGAAAGTCCTTCAACCAGAAAGGAAGCCTTGACAGGCACATGCGACTCCATATGGGAATCACCCCCTTTGTGTGCAAGTTCTGCGGGAAGAAATACACACGGAAGGACCAACTGGAGTACCACATCCGGGGCCATACAGATGATAAACCATTTCGCTGTGAGATCTGCGGGAAGTGCTTTCCATTCCAAGGTACCCTCAACCAGCACCTGCGGAAAAACCACCCGGGCGTTGCTGAAGTCAGGAGTCGCATTGAGTCCCCTGAGAGAACAGATGTGTACGTGGAACAGAAACTAGAAAATGATGCATCAGCCTCAGAGATGGGCCTAGATTCCCGGATGGAAATTCACACAGTGTCTGATGCTCCCGATTAAGATGGTAAAGAAGTGCACCCAAACAAAGCACATTAATCAATGCATATTTGTGATTTGCTTTGTTATAATCTTTGGTTTTCCCAACCATCTGGAAATCTCTTGGTCTCTTGGCAGTTTTTCGAAAGTTTCTGGATGGAACACTTCGTTGTGTTTATCCTTTCCCCTGCCCTCCCTCCCCGAAGGAGCTCAAAGCATGAAGGGCAACGCATCCAGGGAAAACACAGGCTGACAGTATTCCTCTTTGGCTGAACTCTTAATCCAAAATCTGCCAGTGATTTAGCTATGCCAACTGGTTGACCCTCCTTTCTCTGCCAAGAGGCATACTCTCTCTCATTGTGTGCGCTAGCAGCAGTGCACGTCCATGGAGAGAGATTAGGATGCCGTCAGCTGATTCAAATGGGTAACCTTTTCTAATTTAAAATTCCTTTTAGGGGGTAGTTAGACAATTTATATATATATATAATAAAACTATTATTATATATATAGTATATATACATTCTCAAATTTGATTTTATTCTGGTTGAGGTGAATGTAAGAGGAATATATAATTTAATACAATGTGAACAGGGCTTTTGAGTCTGTCTCATCCCTACCTACTATGTTAGGGTTTTGCCCCTTCATTTTCCTTAAAAAAGAATGTTAGTAGGTTTATATTAAGCATTGTGTCCAAAAGCAAGCAAAGCAAATCACAGTGTTCACAGCTCTGCTTCGTAACAATACATAAACCAAATGCCATAAAATTTCTTCAACTCTAGTTGGAAACCGTTTGGAATTTTTGTTAGTTGTCCAGCAGGTAAGCTGGATGACCTGTGGTGCTGACCTTTTTACATAGTGTAGTGTTATATTAGCCAACCCCAAAGGAGCAGTGGTTTTCAAGGTTTTTACTGGCCTGCAAATCTACCTTCATTCCGTACTGTAGAAACATACATACCAGGTAACTAAATCGAATCACTCTCTTATCATGAGTTAGTACTCACTCGCACTTAAGGAAAGGGATTTGTAGTTCTGTCTACAAAATTCTCCAAGCAGTGTTGTGGGTTTTTTGTTTTGTTTTGGTTTTGTTTTGTTTTTTTTTGTTTTCTTTTCTCTTTTCAAACAGCCAGTTCAGGTGCACAGCAACTTTTTCTACATGCAGTTCCCAGGGAAACTGCAGAACTTAGAATTTGTACTTTTTGTAAAGCTATACTCTATGGGAATTGCAAGCAATATATCTATCTTAGTATTGTGTGTGCTAATGAGAGCCTCAGTGGCTCCCCCACTCTCTCAGTGTTTCCTGCTTAAAGAACCAACAGTTTAAAAGCCCTCTAAGATACTCTGTGTGTCACCAAATCTGTGTGTCACCATTTTTTGGTCATGTGGTGCTATTTTTGTTAAGTGTCTTTTTAGGTCAGTATAGTTGTAGAAAATGTGAAATCTAATGGTAATAATGAATTATAATTGTTTTTCTCTCTTGAGTTCATTGCTTGAAAAGACCTCAAAAGCATGTGCCGGCAAACACATTACTGTATGAAAATGTACCCAAGTCCTATTTGAATAATGTTTTATTAGTACTTTTGGAAACGTCTTCAATTCTGTATTGTGTTCACATACACAAACAGGCTTTACAAGATTGCTTCGGTACTGTAAACTCTGGCAGAGAGTAATTCTGTAGGCGGTTTGGGGGTGAGTTTGTGCTGCAGACTGCCTGTGGGATGTCAGCGTTCTGGTATCTGCCTGAGAACCTGGGCTCTGGGACGCACAACCAGTGTATTTCCATAGGTGAACAGTGCAGCCACCTAAAAGCAAAACCAATGAAGAACCAGCCTCAGAGGCTTGAAGTTAAAGGAATACAGAATGAGATGTTTGCTGGTTTTCTATGTTTTTTTGGCTCTTAAAATACCAATGGTGGATTGGTTTTTGTTTTTGTTTTGAGAAAAAAAAAGTCATTCAAGCCCTTTGTGTGTAATAGCCCCCAGGGGTGGCAGCTGTGCAGGCGCATCTCTTTAGCACACAGGATCTGTTCACGTGTGAACCGCTGCGCTACACATCAGTGTTAACTCCGTACAGATACACTCTAATCCCGCTGCTCCCGAGGAGCGGCTTTTGCTAAATCGGGTATATAGTATGCCTTTTTCCTCGTCAAACTGCCTAAGTAGGGGTTTGTTCTCTCCCTGAAGCACTTGTTCAACTCCTGTTAAAGCCGCGTGCCTCAAGGGGAGGCTGGACCCCAAGTGTTTACCCACTTAAATATGTTCTGGGGTTTCAGGTAAATGTTTGTGATTTTTTTTTTCCTTACATGATTAAGTTTGGTTTTGATTTTTTTAAAAATTGAATGCAAAAAAAATTGTGTTGTGATACAAATTAAGTTTGTGACAAGAAATGCCCAAATCCAAGGACATACGAGGTCAAGCTCAGGGAAGGAACCTCCTTTTCACTCAGGCTTGGGGCCTTCAGTGAAGTCTCCAGAGCATTCCGTGGTATGAGAGACAGTGAGGAGGGAGAGCACCTGGCGCGGGCACCTCCAGCGTCCTGGCTCTTGGCATTGTCCGTCTTAACCTTATTTACATGGAGTTCTTTGTATTTGTGAATCTGTTTAACTGGTTTGAGTTTACCAAAGAGTGACTTATCCAAAATTGTCTTTGACAAAAATATCCATTGCTTTGATTGTACAGTTCAGGTTCAAACATTGTAATGGGACTGTTAAGGGGCAGAAAATTGATTGAGTTTCTCTCTAAAATCGATTCCACATTTTGCAAGTTCCACTTGCTCCCATTCGTGTTGCTAACACTTTACCCTTTCCACTGCTCGCAGTGTTAAGAATGAATTCTCAAGCCATAACACAGTACTGTAAAGTTCCGCAGGGCTTCGAGGGAGGCAGCGCCTAGGCCAGCACGGAGCTGCGTAGCCTCTCTGAGCGTTCGCACTGTCATGCTTCCCAGGGGCGTGACTGGTGAGAGATTAACTCCATTCAGATTGGGCAGCAGCAATTAATTGTGCCTTGCCACATGAGGATGTGTCAGGAGGATTAACATGACCACAGAACCGAAACATTCTCTCCCTGAAGTTCACTTCACGTCTCCGCAGACGAAGTACGCTGTGTAACTCCTTAGAGCAACTCTTTTTGGAAAGCGAAGTCCCTATTTCTGTACAGTTTTAGGTTAGGTGTTTCATTTATAACAGATGCAGAAATCAATTAAGATAAAGTGATATGTGAAGAAATCTTTTACAGTAAAATATATCCTGAATTCATATAGGCTTGTTCATAATTGAGTCTCTTCTTGACCTACCTTTTCAATATTAGACAATGTGAAGACAGTGGCAGCGCCCTTTTCTAGAGATTATTTAGCCTGTTATTACAAACTGTGAAGACAAAGAATTTTATACTTTTACTAATGTTTTGTGGTTTTAAACAGTTATTTTCATTCTAATCAGTTCTCTACCCTCTAATTTCTACGAAAGCTGTAAATACATTTAGAAATTATATTTGTAAATACGGTATATGGAGACAAGTTAATTTTCTGGTCAGTGGAAAGCCTCCCAACCAATTGGCTCTGCCTTGGCAGTTGTGGTTTTTGTTGTTGGTTTTTTTAGTTTAGTTTTTTTTTTTTTTTTTTTTTTTTTTTTTAACAGCAGAAAGGATACTGTCAGTTCACTGTTGAGCAGAATATACTGTAGAACGAAATTGATAATTTTTAAATCTTCCAGAGCATGAGTACATGTCTTTTCTAATGATAGCAAATATAACCAACTCTTTGTTTTTCCCTTAGCCCAGACCATATAGACCTGCATATTTTTGTGTGGTTTTGTTTTGATTTTTGTTCTTACAGCCTAGACGGTAGGAAGAATTTGCAGGAACACAAAACAAGGGCTGGGGGGAACATCGTCTCTGTGAATGAGCTTTACTTTAAAGAGATCAGTGTATTTTATTTTATCAGCTTTTCTCTTAGTTACTGTGATTGTTGTTGTTGTCGTCGTCTTCGTTATTGTTAAATTCTATAATGGTTTCCTGTGAAGCCTCCACTGAAAGGGACTCAAATATGCAACACCTAAACTATTTTCCAAGGGCACATGCCCCTTGAATGGTGCTTCTAGACTGGTCAGGGTTATTTATTAAATTTTATATATGAAAGTATTGGGGAATTATGTAAATTCTTTATATGAAACTAGTTCATAAATCATAGATTTCATATTACTCAGTGCAACTGAACTAAAAGTTCAGAAAAGTCATTCACATTGTTCCAAATTTGTAATGGTTGTCACATGTCACATGCGTCTTTTTCAGTAAGTGCCAGAGTGTTCCCACTGTTTCTGCCCAGTGCTTGACTTCTCAGCCCAGAAGAGAACCTGCTTTCTCTGGTTTCCTCCCTGGGTCTGGCACAGACAGGGCTATTGCAGTTCTTGATCAAGTCCTGGAGTCAGCCTTGCCTGGCGCTCCTTGTAGCAGATTCAGTACACAGACCTCTTGCTGCCCCTCAGTGACAAGTATGCTGTGAATTCAACCTTTGGACTTGCTGCCCAAGCCTTTGGTTGCTGCCCTGACTATTGTAAGAGGTAAACTTACCTGGTTTGTTTGAGAATGACCATTTTCCTAATGTGAAAACCATCTCTCTCACCACTTTTATTAGTAGGGCTAACATTTTTTTCCGTTATAAATGGTTGAGCAATTTGAATGACTTAACACAGTGTCATTATCTTGCAATATAAACTGGTAACCTCACAACTCCACACTTCATCACCATATGAAGTAAATGAAGCTAGCTAAGCGGATGCTGTATCAACTAGTAACTTGCCATTAAGGATTATTTTATAGCATGGATTTAAGACTATTTATTCAAATGATATTTTACTCTTGTATTCACTTTGTTTTAGATTTGTGACATGGATATTTCAGTGCTGCTTAATTTTGTTCTGAATTCTTGTTTCTTGCTTGTAAATGGCTTTTTTATGGTATAAATAAAGTCAATGGACATTGCTGTTTGTAAATAAAAATGCTGCTAGAGCAAATGTGCTGTGGTCTCCCTCTGCGCGGGCCCCCTTGGCCTCGGTGAGCGTCACTGGCTCTGACAGACATCTGCAGTGTCATAGCTTCTGTAATCACTGTTTTTGAAAGGTTAGGGTTTCCTGAGAAGCTCTTGTGCCACTATCGTGCTGAGAATGAGAGAAAGAAGTAAGTGTATTTCTGACCTCTTGTGTGGCGACTGCATTGTCGGCCTGGGTCTACGCCGAGGCTCTCCCAGAACAAATTGCCGGTGAATCCCTTCCCCTCGTGCCTGCAGAGGATAGGCCTCACTTAGTCACCCACAAAGTGTGGGGTTACACAGGCTCTTCT